TCAAAGTTATTTTATAAAAGCAATAGACCACACTTCCTATGGGTTTACTGGCGTGATAACCCACTTGGGATGTTGGAAGAACACTCCAAAAGCTTGTAAATCACGAGCCGAATTTCTCGTGTTCTCCCAACATCCCGAGTGGGTCATCATGCCTGCAAACTCATAGAAAGTGTAGTCTATTGCTTAAATAAAGGACAGTAAAAATGCCCCTTGCTTTAGGGTCTGGTTCCTCAGCAATGGTTAACTTTAACCAATGGGTTTTTTTAAGGAGCAGGTGACTGAAGATTAGAAAGCAATATTGAGCCTTGACTCCAAGATCCAGTTATGATGACTCAAAATGATCATCTAATCAATTTGCGGGAAGTTAAATAAAGTTGTGGATGGAAATTAAAATTCTGAACAAGCACTAATTGACCTGTCAGGAACCACGCCTAGCAAAACTTCTACACAGTAGGAAGATAAGGAAAGCCTCCTGCATGATCCTTATTAGTTTCTTCACATATTTTTCACTTTAAACAAGAACACTCTTACAGCAACATTCACTCTTGCTTAGAGATTAGATAGAAAAATGAGAAGGCGATTATTCTACACGAAACAGGAGGTTTTCTACTTCCTACTTGATCTATGTTCATACTTTTTATTTGTTTACGAATTGATTTAATAAACATGTTAGCGACAACTGGAAATACTTCTGCAGTCGCAGGCTATATGTGTGTATAAAATACACGAATATTCAAGGGCCTCGACTGTAGACAAATTACCATCATTGCCAAAAACCAAAAAGTGATTTACATGGCACGTCATTTCAATCATCGCCAAAAATAAACTGCATGCTCATCACAAGATCCATTGGCATACAATGAAAGTTTACAACATCCGACCATCGCAGGTTTGCTAATTGAGATTCTTATTTTTTTTTTTCGACCACTCAGTAGTGTTCACTTGTTCCAAAATAATCAATGCTTTGAAGCGATAGAATTCGTGGACTGACAGGTTTCAGAAAAGCTCTAAATTTAATCTTTCCTAAGTTTTCTTCGTAAAACATACATGGCTTCAATCACGCAATGATTCTTAGTCCCAGTTTCCATGGTCTCCACAAGGAAAGCCTGGCACAATGACCCCCCTTTGTGTCCTAATTAATATGACTAAAAACGCATTGCATATTATGAGTCTCGCTGCTTACGCAAGCGAGGCTAATAACAGGGAAGGAAAAACTGGGAATAAGCCCATTTAAACTTGACTTCACTGATTACACCCTCACATGCTAGTAACAGTTGTTTTTTTTAGTGATTTAGTCACTTTCTTCATCTGACTTCTCATCCATTTCCATGCTCACATCATTATCCTGTTTCACTTCTACACGTGCAGCCTCTAAAGTAAGCTGTTCAAGAGTTTCACCAAGCATGTGAACACTAAAAGTGTCCTCTCGTTGAATGCCAACTGCCTTGTGAAAGTAGCCGATAGCTTCATGATGATTTCCCAGAAGACTATAAACAAATCCTATAGCAGAGTAGGTGGATGCTTTGTTTGGAACTAAAATGAGAGCCTGTTTATGATACCGCAAAGCTTCTTGGTATCGCTCCAGTTTGCGGCAAGCATGGCCCAGGTTATTGAGCAAAGTTTCCCAGGTTTCTGCCAGGGCTTCTCCACTGTTACCCTGTGCTTTCTGGAGAGCTTCTTTGAAATACTTCTCAGCAGCAACATAATCTCCATTTTGGAAAGCAATCACCCCCATTTCCTGTTTAACAAATGGATCATCCGGTGAAAGAGCCAAAGCCTGCAGAAAGAACCTTTCAGCCAGCTTAGCATTATTGGTCTTGCCATACTCAAGGCCAATGTACAGAAGTGGCAGATGGCATCGAGGCATCAACTTAGAGGCAATGAAGTATGCTGCCATTGCCTGGTCATGCTCACCTTCNAGGTAGATGCTTTGTTTGGAACTAAAATGAGAGCCTGTTTATGATACCGCAAAGCTTCTTGGTATCGCTCCAGTTTGCGGCAAGCATGGCCCAGGTTATTGAGCAAAGTTTCCCAGGTTTCTGCCAGGGCTTCTCCACTGTTACCCTGTGCTTTCTGGAGAGCTTCTTTGAAATACTTCTCAGCAGCAACATAATCTCCATTTTGGAAAGCAATCACCCCCATTTCCTGTTTAACAAATGGATCATCTGGTGAAAGAGCCAAAGCCTGCAGAAAGAACCTTTCAGCCAGCTTAGCATTATTGGTCTTGCCATACTCAAGGCCAATGTACAGAAGTGGCAGATGACATCGAGGCATCAACTTAGAGGCAATGAAGTATGCTGCCATTGCCTGGTCATGCTCACCTTCCGCGGCAAAAGAATGACCAAATGCAAGCCATGCTGGGCCATAAACCCGTTCCAGACTTGTAGCTTTGCTAAAATACCTGCGTGCCTGTTCGTACTTTTCAATGACATAGTAATAGCAGCCCACAGCGTACCAAGCGACTGCCCTCTGTGGATAGTTGTCGACCAGTTTGTGTCCAAGAAAGAACAGCTCATTTGTTTTCTTCAACTCCACCAGGCATGTAATATGAATGGGTAAGCAGGCCTCGTGATAGGGATCTGAACGGAGGACGGCAGAGGTCATCTTGAATGAAAGACTGTAACTGTAGTTGTAAAAGTGCCGCTCTGCCATTGCAGTGACTATGTCGAGGTTGTCATTCAGACTTTCCAGGCCAGATGGAAGCTTGGGATCAATTGGCTTGTTATACTTCTTTGTTTTGCTCTCATATAAGAATTTTAGGAGGTCAACTTCTTCAGGCATGCACTGTTCTGAGAAGGGAAGAGAAATCAAAAGCGATCTTTCTTCTTTTTCAGTTAGCATGTGATGTGAAACAAGGAGATCAAACGCTTCAAAGCAATGCACGTCACTTCTTAGAGCGTCTTTATAAGACTCTGTAGCCAAACTTCGGTTATCCATTGCTTCATAAACCGTACCTTTTAGCAAGAAAACAGCACTTTCCAGTTTTTTTGTTCCTCCAACAAAGCTTAACTCTGTAGGAAGTTCTTTATCCCCCGACTCTTTTTGCTCCGTTTCTAGGATCTCTAACGCTTCTTGCCACTGCTTCAGCTCAGCATGACATTTTGCAGCCAGATAACGACAGGCCAAGTTCGTCTGCACAACTCCTCTGCTCCTCAAGGAATGAGCGGCTCTTTGGAACTGGCCAGTCAAAAACAGTGTTTGNCTCGTGATAGGGATCTGAACGGAGGACGGCAGAGGTCATCTTGAATGAAAGACTGTAACTGTAGTTGTAAAAGTGCCGCTCTGCCATTGCAGTGACTATGTCGAGGTTGTCATTCAGACTTTCCAAGCCAGATGGAAGCTTGGGATCAATTGGCTTGTTATACTTCTTTGTTTTGCTCTCATATAAGAATTTTAGGAGGTCAACTTCTTCAGGCATGCACTGTTCTGAGAAGGGAAGAGAAATCAAAAGCGATCTTTCTTCTTTTTCAGTTAGCATGTGATGTGAAACAAGGAGATCAAACGCTTCAAAGCAATGCACGTCACTTCTTAAAGCGTCTTTGTAGGACTCTGTAGCCAAACTTCGGTTATCCATTGCTTCATAAACCGTACCTTTTAGCAAGAAAACAGCACTTTCCAGTTTTTTTGTACCTCCAACAAAGCTTAACTCTGTAGGAAGTTCTTTATCCCCCGACTCTTTTTGCTCCGTTTCTAGGATCTCTAACGCTTCTTGCCACTGCTTCAGCTCAGCATGACATTTTGCAGCCAGATAACGACAGGCCAAGTTCGTCTGCACAACTCCTCTGCTCCTCAAGGAATGAGCGGCTCTTTGGAACTGGCCAGTCAAAAACAGTGTTTGAGCGAACCAGTAGATGTCTTGTATGTTTCCATTAGATAAGGAAACGGCTTTATCTGCCCAAAATAATGCTGTTTTATACAGATGCAGGTCGATATATTGACGAACGAGGTTTCGAAGCTGAGAAATATCAACCTTCCCGCCAGACGCCATCTTGGATTTTGTAAGAAAACCGCTTTCCTGTTAGGTGTTGGGTGCAAAATATAATCTTGGGGGAGTAGGGTAAGATATCAAAATTTAATTTAAAAAACGAGGAAGTTTTTATCGAGTTGTTTTATAGAACTCGAAGCTTACGATATTGATTCTTCTTGGAAAATACGATATCATATAATATTTACGTCATATTATTCGTCAGATTTGTTTTCCAAAGAAATGAAAGTTAGCGCCGGATATGATTCCGCCCCTCCCCAGACGGTATTTGCATCATCTCCGACACCCGCGAGAAGTGGCAAAATGGCCGATTATTGATATCTGATGCAGCGCGTGTTTAGAAGTCTTTCCTCTATTTTTCTGTATTACTTCGTCGGAAGCCTTCTTGCAAGACACGTGTTGTTTGAGTACGGCCTAGGGATGTAGTTGCCTTGGACGTTTTTAAACTTGCACGCAACATTTCTGCAAACATGTCTTCGGGAGCAGACAAGGCAGTGAAGAGCAAGGGTAAAGCGCCAGCAAAGCCCCCAAAAACTAAATCAACGAAAGGTCGGTACAACTCAACTTTTTAATGTTTGATTTGATTTCTTTTGTTTTCAGATGATAATAAACTAGGCCATTTGCGGGTAAGAATATAGCTTGATTTATCTTAGAGACCTTTTTCCTCTTTGTTTTATCAAATATTTTATCAAAAGATTGTCCTGCATATTTCCACTCGATACCATTGATATGCTTATTTCAAGTACGAAACCGATTTGTTTGTTCATTGTCTCAGGTCAAAACTGTTGCCTTTTTGTTCTATTATCTAGTTAACAATTGACGCTTTTTCTTTTTGCCTTCATTATGTTCAGCAAAGGAAGTTTCGACGAACGATCAGCGATTTCGTGGGGATGGGGTAAAGTTTAAGTGCAAGGTATGTTCCCTGTTATAAGACTTGACCTGAGATCTTCCTTATTTTTAAGTATGTATTATCTCCTTCCCTATGCTATTGAGTTCCCGTAGTTTGTTTTTGTTCTTTTGTGTTTTTTTAACAGACATCAAAAGCATGTTTTGAAAAATAATGAGAGCTATATAAACATCACACCACCTTCATGGTGTAATGTAAGCTTACGTTTCCAAGGACGTTATTATTTTCAAAGACCTGTTCCGTATGGTTTGCTCTCCAGATTGTCGGAACCGCAGATGTGGCTAGTGCGAGGGGGGACTCCATGTGTGCGGAAGCAATCAAGAGACTTAAGGTACGTCGCCGAAAATTACTTTTCAATAAAACGCCACTAAAACTTGTTTATAAAACAAGAGACCGGGTGTTAAACAGATGCTTTGTCAATTCATGGTGTGATTTACGGTTAGGTTGGTAACAGCAAATTACACGTTCCTTATGAAAAAAAATATAGATATTTCATCTTCTATGACCCTGTCTCTTTGACATATTGGATAATAGGATTTGGTTTAAGTACTAACTGTAAAATGTTAGCTTTTTAGCCAGGGAAAGAGGCTTATATATGGAGACGGGTGCTCAGTTTTACTCTACAGTCAAAGACTTAGAAAGTAATTATTTTATTCTGAGCCGTCAGTAAACATAAATGAATAATAATGTAATCTACGTGAATTTCCCAATTCTTTAACAGATACATATTTAAATTCATGCAATTTATTTTCTACAATAACTTGCACTTAAGGTAGTAGTCTTAATATTAATATTAACTCTAACCCAAGTTGCTCTCTTTCTGTTGGTTTTATAGGGGATGGAGATAGGCATGGCTTGAGGCTCAAAATAGGGGTTTTAAAGTGGGGAACTCAACGAGTAGTTTCACATCCCACTGTGACCGAATCAAAACACAATCATTCATCTTATTTCTGTACTTTTTTCAAAACATCTTTTTTCCCAGGCACAAGCATTAAAGTCACACAAGGAGAGTGGAGAACACAAGCAGAAGATTATATTGTACATCAATGTGAAAGGAATCAGAATAATGGATGAGAGAACTCTGGTGAATTAAAATGCTTCAATGTTTAAGTGTGCAAATATCCCAGGGGTACCCCCCTTCTCTCTCTTCATGACCAGTGATTTTGGTACCTCTGTGTCCTGTGTCCTTGACACATTAAAATCCCCCAAGATGCAAAATAATTCATGGCATGTGTCCCATAGGATGCAAAGAACGGTCGATCAATTTGAAGATTTATCGGGAGAATATCCTGTTCATGTGATTTCTGGGGCTTTTGTTTAAAGATGCATATTAATTATTTTATTTAGTTCTTTTTTGTGCTTTAAATATATAGAAGGACTATATTTTAATTTTAGTAAACTGTAATAAAGAGTTTTGGCATCTATGTCCAGATTAACTGTCTGGTTACATAAATAATTTATTTATTTATTAGGCCCAAGCATGACTCCTTGTAATTTTGAACTGGGCACTCATTGGTTCTGGACTGAGTGTCATGATTTTTCACAAGGCGAGTCCCAGGACTCACCGTAACTATTTGTAACAAAATCACTGCATGACCCAGTCCTCAGCCCCCTGCATGGGGAATCTATCAACTCATTACTCAAGTCTTTGCTTTAACAGTGGACAGTGGTATTGTTTCAATTTACTTGTGTTCTTGGGTACCCATTGAGTCCTCATATTTTTTTAGTAAATATACATGCTGGATTTCATAGGTTATAGCTTCTGAACAATGCTGTCCAATGGATAAATCTCTATCCAGCAGATAACACAATAATGGTTTTTGTAATACTTATGCCCTGAACAGTTATTTAACCAGTAGATATTACTATCCAATTTTTGGACAACCATGTGGTTGAGGTAAAGACTCAAATATCTTCGTATTTAACGGAGATGTTTAAAAAAGAGTTAGCTATCATTAATGAAAAGTGTTTATGATGTCATTTGTTTATTGTTATGTATGATCTCTTATAGAAAGTGCAGTATGAACATCCCATCAATAAGATATCATTCATAACCCATGACCCAGAGGACAAAAGAATATTTGGTTATGTTTGCAGTCAACCTTGTACCACTGGACACAAGATATATGCCATTAAATCTGAAAAACCTGTAAGTAAATAGATACCACTGTGAATAGGCCCTTTGCAGCTAGCCATTGGTGCTAAACTGCCATGCTGGAGAGCAAAAGTCGAACTGGGACAGTTAAAGACAAATAAGACATACATTAACTTTAAATGGTAATTTCTTTTGTTTGTCTTGTCCCAGTGCGACTTTTACTCTCCAGCATGGCGTTTTTGTACCATGTAAATGGCTAGCTGCAACAGGCCTATTTCTTTGTGGTTTTTTCTTTCACACCATCAAAAACTAAAGTGAAAACCAATCCAATACAATGAATGACACGGAAGCCAAAAACAGGCCATTTCCATGTTCCAAAACCTTCACTTTCCAAATGAGGCCAAGTAGAATAACCTTCTTGTGAAAATGATTTTCTTAGTTGAATGTCATCAGGAATTATTTTTATATCAAAGCCTTTGTACTTTCCCTCAGAGATGTGAACAACATTTCTAAGTCTTCGGTGCGTACACTTTACCACTGTCAATTTATTGGGATGTAAAAATATCTCTCAGAAATTTGAGATGTCGTAATTTTGTCCCCCTATGAGGGGTACTTTGGTAGCAGTAAAAAAAAAACATTCTGCCAGGTGTTTTTTTTTTCTGAAGTGCAATCTTTTTCCTTTCAGTTTCAGAAGTAGCATAACCAACCAGGGCTGTCATCAAGGGTTGGGGACCAGAGATTTTCCCTAATGGCTGTTATGAACATGACCCTGCCTACTTTAGAAGGAAAATAGAAGAAAAATACAACCAAACAATATCCCAAGCAGTTTTATTCCCTGCCTACTTGTATCATTTACCTGGCAACTTGAAATTTTAATGACAGCCTTGTCAACTAAACTCCATTTGTTAGAGTTTTCTTTGATTCACGTGTAATTCCAGAAAATATCCAAACCCACTCCCCACTGAGGGTAACTGAAAAATTCCAAGGGGGTTGGGGTTGGGCAAGCCAAAATTTTGTAAAGGAAAGTATGAATGCAAAATTGAATTTTTTAGGGGTAAGGTTGGGGTGGTTAGCGTGCTGGACGTGCAATCAGAGGACCCCAAGTGTAAGCCCAGCCCTGACTTAGTAGTAGCTGGATATGTTTCTGGTAGTTCCAAGTTCGAACTAGACATGCTTGTAATAGCCAACTTCTTTGGCTCAGGGGTTTCATTAAAAGCTGGGGCCTGGGTACCAGCAGCAGTGTACTCTAAGCACAGTACCTACCTTCAAGCCGAATAAAAGAGTAAATTCTTAAAATTACTTCCAACTTTCCCCTCCTACTCAACCTTTTGCACCCTTGTAGTTTTTTTAAAAAAATAAAATCCTGGCCTCAGGCCAGTTAGAAATCCTTACTTGTTCTGTTGATCTCAGTCAATGTTTGTTTGCCATACTTTAATTTTCTGTATTATTAGCAGTAAATGATTAACATTGTAAAGTCAATTTTTTTAACCTTCCGTGGGTGAGTATGGATATTTCCTGGAGCAACATAATACTTATTCTTTGTACATAATTTGATGAATTATTGTATAATCTGACTGCATAGGCTGGAGCTGTAACAGGAACCTTGTATGAACTGTTCCAAATTGTGTTCAAACTGAGACAAGAAGCTGGATTATCCAGGAAGGTTCAAAATGCAGCCAATAATTCATCCCAGATGTCAAATGGTAAGGAATTATCTGTGATCTTGGGGTGCAGTACATTGTCATAAGATCCAAGGGAAAATCTTGATGCAGACAAGAATGCTCAGGGATTACCTTTGCCATATTTTATGAATTTTCCAAATAGAATGGTATACGACCATGTAATTTTCCATATTTCATTTCTGGTAATACTTGAGTTTGAAATCAGGAGGTCCTTCAAAGGTGGGTAATCCTATAAATAAAGCTTTAATATAGAACTATTTACTCCTCTGCAGTCAAGTCTGTTAAAGGGTGAAGAAATTTCAGACCTCTAGCAGGGCATTAATGAACTGTGTGGAAAAATAAGCATGTATGAAAGGAACCAAGGGTCTTCAAAGATGGTGGGTATAGGGTAAAGGTTTCAATGTCACAAGCACTGACTGCAAAACATAATTAAATTGATAATCTATGAAATGAATTAACTTCAATCCAAACTCTGATTAGGTTGATTTTTTGTCTTTTCTATTAAATACAGGTCCACAGCCTCGCAACTCTCCCGGTTCTGATGGAATCTATGAGGTAAGTTTCCATGTCGTTGGAATTTTTTTTAACCTCCTGAAAAAATATAAGAAAGAATTTCGTTGTTGGCTTAAGTCAGGAGAAAAAGTTCATTTGTTCAAAAACTTGACTTCTTGCTGTTACTGTAAATTAAATAAAAATGAAGAAATGATCATCACAGTGAACGCAATTTATGCAATTGCATAAGGAAGCCTGAAAAAAATTCAGGACTTCAACTGGGTTTGAACCCGTGACCTCGCAATTACCGGTGTGATACTCAACCAACTGAGCTATGAAGCCACTGACGTTGGGAGCAGGTCAGTTGTGGGTTCATATGTTCCCGTGAAAAAAATGAGTGTTAATGATATATGAAATAAATCTTAATAGTAGTGTAAAGGTCATTCCATTAGTACAAAATAGTGAAAACCATCCTTATGTCTAATTTGTCTTGATTTTAGGTGCCATACAAAAATGGAAAAAACAAACATGAGAAAACTAGCCCTCAACTTGATCATGAATATGCTGAGCCAGTACAACCCCCTTCAAGAAGAGATCCTCATTATAAAGTAAGAAAATTATTTTAATGCACTTAAGGATGTGCTCTTTGATCTGTTGTAAGTCAGAATTAAACAAAATTTCCCAATTTCATTTTGAATAATGCTGAAAAACAAACATTACAGTATGAAAGTACTGCTGTCATGTTGTGCTGATACCTCACCTCTGCAATAAATGCAGGTACATGCAAGGGGCTCCTAGATAATAAATTTATACCTGCGTACCTATTTTTAAGGGTTAAAAATTTTTCCCAAGACCTTGAGGATTTTTTAGAGGAGTCAGCTATGTCCAAAGATTTCTGATGACTCTTTAAGTTCTCAGTTTCAGTTTATTTTCCATCTAAAATCAGAGATTTAGGGGAAAATACAATCACATGATCACATGTTCTCTTTTTTTCTCACAATGGTTTGAGTTAATTTTACCGAGCTGTCACTAAGGACCAGAGCCTGGGGATTTTCCCCAGCAATTTGTACAGGAAACAATGAAAATTCCAAAAGAACGTCCTAGTGATTTAATTCCCCACTTACTGATTGTGTATACCCAGCAACTTGAAATCTTAGTAACAGCCCTGACTTTACTTTTAATTTTGTTTTGAAAATGTGTCTGGTAAAGTTGTTATAGCTTTCCACTAAGCGCATGAACTGGGATCACATCATAGTTTTTGATGTTCTGGCATCACTCCTTTAAGTGTAACTGCTCGGAAGTATATCCTTGATTGCTTCTTCTGTTTAATATCAAGCAAATGTTATTTGATTAGGTTCCAAACAGTCCGCCTTTACCAGCTACACCATCTTCTCAGACCAAACAAAACAGCAGAGAAGATGTAGAGGAGAAAGAGATGACAGCATCAACCCATGTCTCTAATCAATCTACGCATTTAAGCCAATCAAAAAGCTTTGACAAGGTTTGCTTCTATTCTTTGTACATCTATGTGAATGTATGCCCTTGGGACTTTACTTCCTGGTACTTTCCCAGGTGTTTGCTGAAGTCAGTTTATTTCATTCCCATTACAATAAAAGTCAGTGTGGATCAGTATAAGAGAGTTTTTAATTTGAGTTGCCACACAATAGATTTGTGCCAAATTGAAATTTAAAACTTCTGTTACCTGTTATCTCTCTATAATTTTATTGACTCTGGGGTTGGTGGTTATTGTTTACAGGAGCCAGATCAAGTGTCACAAGCATCCATTCCAGACTCACCATTCCCAAGTCATGACAGTACTTCCAACACGGCATTCTTTGGATCTTCAGTTTTTGAGGCAACTCTAGGCGAATCAGGAATGGCAGACACTGTGTCAGTAGCATCATCAGCTGATGTATCAATGATTAGGACTGGGTCTGTCTCGTCTGGATCGTCAGAGACTCAGAGTGTGCACTCCCGCAGTGATTCCATGGTAAACCAAGCAGCAAACAATGAAGGGACTCAAGTTGGGTTTGCCACCTCTTTTGACAGCAACAGTGATGCTGGGTCTGCCTCAGACATTAAGACTACTGATGAGGGTTCAGCCCAGACCCAACCTCAAGGGAATTTCTCCATTTCTTTTCCATCATTTGGGGACAAAGAAAAATCAGAGATATCAACAGATCAAGAGACATCTTTTAGTCATGCTGATCCATTTGCATCATCAGCTGCAGACAGTGAAAGAACTCAACCAGTCACTGGTGGAGGTTTCTTCACAGAGTCATTTGCATCATTTGATACAGCATTTGGTAACTTTGAGACCAAGGATGATAATGTGGAGAAACAAAAAAGCAGTGAATCTTCAAGTGATCCCTTTGCACCATCAGGTGGCACCCAAGAAAAGGACAACGTTTATGAAAATGTGGAGATTTTTGCTTCAGAAACCAATTTTGAGACAGCATTTTCTTCAGAGCCATTTTCCGTGTCAAAGGAAAGCACTGATGTTGTTTCAGATGTCAGTGAAGTTGCCGCAGATGAAAAACCCTTTGACAAAAAAAGTCAGTCGGTTGCAAACACTGCTGTGGGTTTCTCATGGGATAATGCATTCACAGAGGTGGAAAACAAATCGAAACCAGATGCAACACAGAGTTCTGCCTCATCTGAGCAACAGTTTTCATGGGCAGAAGATTTTGCTCCAGATGATGGAGATATTAAAGTTAAAACAGATCCAAATACTGCAGCATCATTTTCTTGGGACGATGCTTTTGGAGGGGCCGCTCCAGCATATAAAGAATCTACATGGGATGATGCTTTTGGTGGAAAAACAAAAGACAGCAGTAACTCTCTGTTTGACTCATTGCCATTTGGTGATGCGTTTACATCATCAACAGAAGATTCATCTGGTAATAAGCAGAGAGGTTCTGAAGATAATCTGCAATCAGTGCCAGAGTCAACTATTCCTGATAATTCTTCATTTTTCGATGATTCATCATTTGCTCCTCCCTCATCTTCTCAAAGTAATGAAGGTAATGCAGATGATTTAGCTGATGAAAAAATCAAGGAAGATCGTGCATTTTCAAACGACCCATTCGAAGAGTTCAACATTGGCATGCAGCCTGTGGCAGATCTCAAGAAGATTGCACCAGAGGAGAATACTATTAATTTTGAGTCAGAAATAAACACTCCTGATCAGGATTCTGCTGCAAAGAAAGTTGTATCAAACATAGGATCTTTTGAAATAAATCCAAAAGAAACAGTTGTTGCTGTGGGCACGAGTGAAACAATAATACAGTTAAATAATCAAGTTCCTGAGTCTGTTATTGAAGGTAACTCATCAGAAGAAGGTGATGATGATCGAATGAATGAGGAAAAACCATCCGACCTCCAGGTTCAAGAGGCAAAGCTATCACTATCTCAGAGGCCTATTTCACCAAGCTCACCACCCCCTCTTCCACCACGCCCTGTTGTCTCAGCACCCCCACTCCCAGCCAGACCACCGAGCTCCAATTCTACAGGAATATCTCCCATGATCCCTTGCGTGTCCACAGGGTCCCCAACACCAAACTCTCCACAACAAGTAAAGACAGGAAGTGCTAAGAAAAAGCCACCTCCGCCTCCACCAAGAGTGGATTTAAATGAACAATCTTCAGCAGATCCTTCCAATCAGAAAGGAGCTTTTCCTGATCCTTTTGGTTCAGATTTGTTTGATAATAAATTTGACAAGGGCATGGAGACAGCTGGACAAGAGAGTTCTGACTGGATGGCCTCATGGCCAAGTGCACCAGAACTAACCCCGAAAGAGACAACTAAAGACCCATTCAATGACAGCTTTTTTACAGACTTTGATTTCCCACAAAATACAGCACATAACACATCATCCAAAGATAACTTGGATCCCTTTGCAACAACAGATCCAACTTCTGAGCCTTTTCCATCAGACTTTGGAAATGAGGACTTGTTTGCAGCATTTACACCTGCAAAAGTGGAGGCTGCTTTTGACAATGGGGATCCATTTCAAAATGATATGTCCAATTCCTTTGCAGCATTTACATCAGATGATCCCTTTAGTGATATCAGTGATCCATTTGCCGACAGAGGAATTTTAAGTGATGATCCATTTGCTGACAGTCCCAGTAAACTTCAAGCTGGTGAATCTCTGACTCTAAATGAGGTTTGTATTGTACAACTACTGTTGATTAACATCCCTGCGAGTAACCTATTTTCTCTTAAAAAAGTTACAACAATTGTCCTTATAATTTCTCATCCTCGGTGACCCGGTAGCAGTGAGTCAGGTCAAGAATAGGGCCGGCGAAAGTTTTCAACGTGTGGGAGAACTCTTTTGTCCTTGTATTTCCCTAATCCTGTATAGGGTCAAAAAACAGGGCCACAGGGAGGTGCATTAATTCACTCTTTTATCCACAGGCTCAAACATTTGATCCACTCTGAAGAGCATGATTACAGCTGTAGCAGCACTAATTTTGGAGGGCTGAGACTATTTCATTTTTGTCAGTTGGGAGGGGGTAGGAGGAGGTGGCTCCAAACAATTTCTGTGGAGTGTGGGGCGGGGTGTATAAAGGAAGCTGAGAGAAAGGAAAAGCTCCAAGCATCAGATTCTTGCATAGAGTTGTCATCTCAAATAATTATCACATTTTATTATTATTGTTATTATTATTATTATTTTTATTATTATTATTATTATTATTATTATTATTATTATTATTATTATTATTATTATTTTAAAAAACTATCGTTTAAAAAAACTAACTAATAAGATGTTACCATGCAATAAGTACTGCAAGAGAGTTGTTATGTAGGTGGTCACATAACAACATTATATATAATTTTCTTTATTTCCCGTAATGGTATTAATGGCTTGGGAGTGATTGAGCTGATTGGAAGACCAACACCCACATTCCATTATTATATATTCTTCACTATTGCTCAGTTTAGTCTCAGCACTTGTGATTGTTATGGAGTGCTTCTGTAATGAGAAATCAACCTTTGATCGCTACTGGTTTGTTCTGTTTTGCAGAGCTTAGTTGCATCAGACGATGCTGATTCATTTGCATAAAATAAGAGAAGTATTTAATAGGTATGTAAAAGCTATAAAACTTTATTTATTATTGTTCTAAAAATACAGCTCTAAGGTATTCCTGCATTTTCAAATTTTCGCATTCCTTTCTTAACATCCTAAGTGATACTAAAAACTGTAATAATTTACACCCCTTTGAAGACGACAAACAACCCCGCCCTTTTCATATTTTAGTCCCTTCCCTGAGGACATTACATCTATGAACATTATTATTTTAATGGTTGTTTAATGATTGGTTTGACAAAAATTTGATACTTTCAGTCTTCACGTAGACAATTATAATTAGAACATTATTTTTCTAATCAAAACTGAAGCAATGAACTTTATTTTTAGGATTAAGAGGCTGCAAGATGGTTAACCTTCAGATCTTCTGATAAAAGTAAAAGAAAAACTGGCATTTATTATTGTCAAGTCATAACATAACTTATCCCTAATCAGATAGTATAATGCTCCATGATCTACAGACAGTGGCTGGAAGTTTGAATGAATAACCAACTGTCTTCATCATTCTTCTGGCTGGAACAATGCAGGCACTCAATAGTTACTCTAGAGTGAGGGGTATTATTATTTTACACTTATCAAAATCATCATAGTCCCCTCCTGGTTAAAAAAACATTCCTGAGTAATGGTTTGACTGTGTTTGTTGCACACAACTTTGTTCTAATGAGAAGTTGTGATGTGTTCGGAAGAGGTTTATAATAATAACTAATATGAACTGTTTCAACGTTTTTTTCTGGGATTGACAGGCTCTTGCAGTTTTGTTCAATGAATAGGCACAAAATCAGAACAGAGAGAAAACACCAACATCTGAGTTAGCCTGCATGGCAGATGCAAGAAGGGGAGGGAGAGGGGGGGAGGCAGAAAAGCACAAAAGAGGGGAAAGGTCCCTTCCCCTCTCTCCCCTACCCCCTCCCTTTTTCCCTATCCCCTACCCCTTTCGACGCCTGCTACACAGGCTACATCTGAGTCACCTATTGGACCTTTGTTGGAGAGCTGTTGCCCAAGGAGTACTGTTATATATTAAGCAAGGGTTTAATATGTGGCCACTGTGAAAATAGCCTTTTAAGGACAAGCTGATTGGTCTGAGATATAGAAAATAATATGAGTAGTTTGGTCTAGAAAAGTAAATAATTGTTAATTGGAAATAATTTGACCAGTAGTATGAAAAATTGTAACTTTCATAACGGTATCATTTCTACTGGAAAGCTGCAGCTGGCCATTAAAGTAAAAGAGTTCCCAAAGTTCCTGGCACGCTTTTAAAGCTGTTTAGTCTTGGATGTAGAAATTGGATGACTTATGTAGAAAAATGTTTAATTTTTACAAAAAATTGACAAGGAAATGTAACTTTCATATTTGGTATTATTTTTAGTAGAAATCAGGCCATGAAAATTATGGAGTTCCTTGTTAATAGTACTGTTATTCTGGGATCGGGTGGAGGTTTCTCATGCCTATTGTAGAGAAGGATTACAAAGTAAGTAAAGCTGAACATGGGTCCACTGGCATAAACTTTAGGTTCAGGGTCATGGTGATGCACACCGACTCCAAATTGTCACGCAGTTTGCCTCTCATGAGAGATGTGATGACTATTTGACTCAGTATAATCTCAACATCTCTTGACAGTATTTAGACAATGTTAAGAGCGTTTGGCTACAAGGTTAATAGCAAATCTATCTCGTGGCAGGGATGTGGGCGTGGTTATTTACACGCAAAAAAATCGAATATTTGCAAAATAATAACAATGAGGGAGTTTTTGTGATGAGTCCCTCTAGAGTTAGCCTGAAATTCATCTGATTGCTTCGAGTCGTTTTCTCCTCTGAGGGAGTAATAACGACTTGGAAGTAAACGGATGAAATTCAGGCTATTCTAGAGTAAATTCTGACAAGCAACATTACCTGGTACCTGCAGTCTCTTCAGCCAGATAAAAATCAACCATCAATGCAAAGATAGATTGAAACTGTGACAGCAACAAAGACAAGTGCAGTCACAAGCTAAATGCAGGCTTCCTCTTCAATACTTTAAAACTGGCCCCTTTTTTAAGACTGTTGACAAACCACAAGACTTAACAACAGTAACTTAGTTATATCTAGGAATTTTGTGGGAGGAAGGTTGATGTTGAACAAAACAAATTTGTTCTTAAGATTCATTTGCATAAATTAAAAGAAGTATTTAATAGGTATGTAAAAGTTATAAAACTTTATTTTTTTTTTTTCTAAAAATACAGGTCTGAGGTATTCCTGCATTTTCAAATTTTCGCATTCCTTTCTTAACATCCTAAGTGATACAAAAAACTGTAATAATTTACACCCCTTTGAAGACGACAAACAACCCCGCCCTTTTCATATTATTTTTAGTCCCTTCCCTGAGGACTTTACATCTGTGAACATTATTATTTTAATGGTTGTTTAATGATTGGTTTGACAAAAATTTGATAGTTTCAGTCTTTACGTAGACAATTATAATTAGAACATTAATTTTTCTAATCAAAACTGAAGCAGTGAACTTTATTTTTAGGATTAAGAGGCTGCAAGATGGTTAAACTTCAGATCTTCTGATAAAAGTAAAAGAAAAACTGGCATTTATTATTGTCAAGTCATAACATAACTTATCCCTAATCAGAATCTGATGGTATAATACTCCATGATCTACTAGACAGTGACTGGAAGTTTGAATTAATAACCAGCTGTCTACAACATTCTTCTGGCTGGAACAATGCAGGCACTCAATATTTCCTCTAGAGTGAGGTGTATTATTATTTTACACTTGTCAAAATCATCATAGTACCCACCTGGCTAAAAAAACATTCCTGAGTAATGGTTTGACTGTGTTTGTTGCATGCAACTTTGTTCTAATGAGAAGTTGTGATGTGTTCGGAAGAGATTTATAATAATAACTAATATGAACTGTTTCAACGTAATTTTCTGGGATTAGTCATTTGACAGGCTCTTGCAGTTTTGTTGAATGAACAGGCACAAAATCAGAACAGAGAGAAAACACCAACATCTGAGTTAGCCTGCATGGCAGGGGCAAGAAGGGGAGGGAGAGGGGGAGGGAGAAAAGCACAAGAGGGGAAAGGTCCCTTCCCCTCTCTCTCCCCTACCCCCCTCCCTTTTTCCCTATCCCCTACCCCTTTCGACGCCTGCTACACAGGCTACATCTGAGTCACCTATTGGACCTTTGTTGGAGAGTTGTTGCCCAAGGAGTACTGTTATATTTTAAGCAAGGGTTTAATATGTGTCCACTGTGAAAAATAGGCTTTCAAGGACAAACTGTTTAGTCTGGGATATAGAAAATAATATGAGTAGTTTGGTGTAGAAAAGTGAATAATTCTTAATTGGAAATAATTTGACCAGTAGTATGAAAAATTGTAACTTTCATAACAGTATCATTTCTAGTGGAAAGCTGCAGCTGGCCATTAAAGTAAAAGAGTTCCCAAAGTTCCTGGCACGCTTTTAAAGCTGTTTAGTCTTGGATGTAGAAATTGGATGACTTATGTAGAAAAATGTATAATTTTTACAAAAAATTGACAAGGAAATGTAACTTTCATATTTGGTATTATTTTTAGTAGAAATCAGGCCATGAAAATTATGGAGTTCCTTGTTAATAGTACTGTTATTCTGGGATCGGGTGGAGGTTTTTCATGCCTATTGTAGAGAAGGATTACAAAGTAAGTAAAGCTGAACATGGGTCCACTGGCATAAACTTTAGGTTCAGGGTCATGGTGGCGCACACCGACTCCAAATTGTCACGCAGTTTGCCCCTCATAAGAGATGTGATGACTATTTGACTCAGTATAACCTCAACATCTCTTGACAGTATTTAGACAATGTTAAGAGCGTTTGGCTACAAGGTTAATAGCGAATCTATCTCATGGCAGGGATGTGGGCTTGGTTATTTACACGCAAAAAAAAGAGTATTTGCAAAATAATAACAATAAGGGAGTTTTTGTGATGAGTCCCTCTAGAGTTAGCCTGAAATTCATCCGATTGCTTCGAGTAGTTTTCTCCTCTGAGGGAGTAATAACGACTCAAAGTAATCGGATGAAATTCAGGCTATTCTAGAGTAAATTCTGACAAGCAACATTACCTGGTACCTGCAGTCTCTTCAGGCAGATAAAAAACAACCATCAACACAAAGACAGATTGAAACTGTGACAGCAACAAAGACAAGTGCAGTCACAAGCTAAATGCAGGCTTCCTCTTCAATACTTTAAAACTGGCCCGTTTTTTAAGACTGTTGACAAACCACAAGACTTAACAACAGTAACTTAGTTATATCTAGGAATTTTGTGGGAGGAAGGTTGATGTTGAACAAAACAAATTTGTTCTTATGGTAAAGATTTTTCCATTTTGGTATAAGTACATGGTAAAGAAAGTAAACCCTCTTTACTCATAATCATGAAAATTTATTGGAGGCTGCATAAGAGTAGAAAGTGAAACAAAACAATTTTTAGCCCCTCTTCTTCTGTAGTAATTTGAATCATTTCATCGGCTGGAAAGAAAGTTGATTTTTCCTCTTAAGAGGACATAGATACCTATTATAAAAATTATCAACAGTAAAACAGGATGTTGTAAATATGAGTACATTTAGTGATAAAAATGTGACAACTTCCAAGCAATGTATTATCCTGGCCCCAGTTGAGCAAAAGTTGGATAGTGCTATCCACAAAAGAAATTGCTATAGCAGTGGATTAGGAATCATAGACAAGTTGCTGGGATCATTATGCGTTTCTGGGAAAGGGCCCACCTACCCCTCCCCTAAGCCAACATTTTGCCCTAAGTGAGAGTTAAGTGTTAATATTGACTGAGGGGAGGGGTACATGGTCAGTAATTCCCAGAAACTTCTATTGTTCGTTGCCCTATCTGTTGGATGGTGATTTATCTGGAATATAGCTCTATCCACCTTTTGAACAACCGGGACCTGCCAGTAAGGAAATGTGGCATATTATTAAACTAAAACTTGCAACTGAAAATGTATGGCTCAGGATCTTTGATTCTTTATTAAGTGTTCATCTTGACGTTCCCCGTGTTTACCGGATTTATTACGCTGATTTACGTCATAGTATGAAATTTCTTTCTCTGAGGCGCAGATGTTCCTCCTGGCAGAATGTTCCTAGCAGCGAGGAGCAAGGAGAAACGGCTGTATTCCCAGGCTACACGTTCAAACGGTGCTTGCAAAAGATAGGGCTATATCTCCTGCTCGGTATAAAGAGCAGAGATGTTTCTTGCACACTGTGTTCTGTGGGAGGGGAGTTACTCACCTATGGAAAACGTCAGGGTACTTGGCAGTCCAAAACGTAAAAAATGCCCCTTAAAGGTACCAAAACCTCTGCCTTATGGGCGTGGCTCAAACCCCGAGATGTACCTAACAATCAGTTAAGTGACAAGTAGTTTCCATAATTTTGTAGCTCATCACCCTGGTTAAGGTAAGGTTGAGGCCTAATCCCGGCTGCTAAGCATGAATCTCCTAGGAGTATTGCTACTCCCCCCTGGGGGGCAGGGTTACCCCTAGCGGTATATCACCATTACCCACCTGGGTAAAGAAAGACAAAAGTGAAGGAAAGTTACTTGTCTTGGAAAAGAGCACGTGTTAACTACTCGATCTCCACAGAGCTTGACACCTTGAAAGGCTTCTAAATTAAAGGTACTTTGACAGTACAGCTCCTAAGACGTCCCCTTAAGGGGTACAAATGGTGACCCAGTCATTTTTGCCGGAAAGAACCCTCCCCCAGGTCTGCATTTTACTGTCAACTAGTGTGAACATAACCTCCAGGAATCTTCTGTCTTCTCATATAAGAGCAGCCTGTGTGCAGACGTCTCCCATTTCCTTTGTTGCAGAAATAGGGGACAACTGCATACACGCTAGTGTAATAGGGGTTTTATGACACATCAAAAGGATGTCACTGTAGAGCGCTCTGAGGCAGGGCCCTTTATAACAACTGTCTAATAAGGGGATCCAACCTACACAAGCCTGTGTGAGTGACGTCTTTTGTAATATGGCTGCATTCACAATAGCCTCCCTCGCAGAGGTTCCTGCAGGGGGAGGCTACATAGTGACAAGCTATCTTTACAGAGACATGCTGCACAAGATTTGATTAACAGACTCAAAGATAAGGTAAGAAGTTTAGTCGTAGCTTTTGAATGATTTAATTATTTAACAATTGTTTCACTATCATTTTCTTGTTGTTCTATGTACAATGTATGAATTTTTTTCTTTTTTTTTTCTAGAACTTTTAGTTTACTATTATGTGACAGGATAGACAATTCTGGATTTATGTACACTGTTTATAGTACAATCTACTTTGCACCTCTCAAGACAGCGAACAGAATGCAACTCAATAAACTTAATGGGGCTAGGTCATATAGTGAAAGGCAAAAATTTCAATACTAACTTCACTCTACAAATATTAGTAATCAAACTGACTGAAACATCAACAGAATTACCACAAAGCAAAACTGGGACATGCCATAACAGGAAAATGTTAAGACAGAACAAACTCTTGTAATATTCAAAATGTTCAGCCAACCTTTTGGAAGTTTTTAGTAGTCTAAGCACCCCAGATTTGCACTGTCATATTATTTTGAATGCAGACTGCTTCACCGTCTCATCAATTCTGGCTAACTGCACAGTATAATTAGTTGACCTGTGCATGCACAGCAAAGACTCCCATACAACTAAAGCCAAGTGACTGGTGTGGGGTCCTGACCCATAAACTTTAGAGTGAAAATTGAAAAGTGAAAGCTCAAGATAAAGATACAATGCAAAAGTCAAAGGCCAATGGTGTGCTAATTATAATCCTCTTCTTTCGATCAGTGTACATTTTACAGATATTTAAAGCTACTTAATGCTACACAGAAAGGAACAAGGATTTCATGTCACACCAAGGAATCAAACTTGGATCTATTATGAGGCAGGCCACACTAACTGTGTCAATTTTTCGAGCTCCTAATACTGGGGTCTTTGTAACGAAGGGGTTCACTATATCAGGTTTCTAGAGAGAGGGATATAGGACCTCACTGTAAGAGGATGTAAAAAAAGTACTTAAGTTCACACAAACAGAAAGTGTTTATTAGCAAAGAAATTGAGCTCTCAAGATACTCCTGCCTGCTCTTCTAGTTCTGACACAAGCAAAACTACACAATATTGGGATTTGTAACACAATTTCATTTAAGCAAATATACATCTTCTTAATTCTATTCAAGTATCACATAAGGAAGGACTTGCAATGCGCCATCAGCAGAAGGCATCGCTTCTGTCCAGTCATACCATGTGCCGTCAGTCCCATAACGACCAGTAATGCCATTTGCTTCTACATGTACATCTAATACTAATTCCTTTGGAGTTGGTGATGTTGGAGTGTCTTGATCTCCCAGCACTTCTTGTGGGAGTACTTCCTCTGTGCCAGATATATTTCCATCAGTCTTTGACTCAACATTTGATTGACTGGTCATGTCTGCAGTTGGAGATTTAGAATTCCATCTGGTGTCTGTGAAATCATTTGTAGAGTCCTGCGAAATGTCTACTTTTGTACTGCCTGACTGGCAATTATTTAATTCAGATTTAACACTAGCTGACTGGTTTTCTTTATCAAATTCCTCTGTTATGCTGACACTTGACTGTGAACTAATTCCAGAATCTACAGAAATACTATTATTTTCAGTGCTTTGTGAGTCTGTCATCTGTGGCACTGATGATAAATTTTCTTTGTTTTTGTCCCCTTCCTGGAACATTTGTGACTGGGTTAACTGTGATGAAGAAAATGCACTTTCTGTGTCTCCATCCTGAGATGACTCTGGCAAAGGAGATGAACTACTTTTCTCTTTGTCTAACTGCACATCAGGAAATGAAGAGGACAAACTACTTGTATGGCCACCCAGTGCTGTTTCTTGACCAGAATTTGGAGTCCCAGGGTGGCTTTCAGAATCATCTGATTTTAAAACAACACTTGGTGAATTTTCATTACTTGAACAGCTATTACGTTTCCGTTTAACTCCTCTCTTCTTTCCTTCAAGGATTTTAGATTTTCCTGCTCTTTCGACCGATGGAGATGCTGGTTTTTCACCGTCCCTGATAGTTCCATTAATTTGCGGCGATGACAATCTTCCCCCATTGATTGGAGAATCTGTATTACGTAGCGTCTCAAGATGATTAATTACAAGTTTTTGCCATTTTTTAACAAGTCCTTTGGCCCTTTTAGCTAGTTCTTCATTAGTTGTTTTTTTCCGTAGAAGATTTATTGTTTTTCCTATACGTGTTTTCTGTGGAGAAAGAATATTGCAATGACTATTTAACAGCTAGCAAAATAACAATTATTCTAAAATGCCAATATAGAAAGGAAAACTGACTTAACAGACATTGCAATATATCTTGCTTCTAGACCGAGACAATTAAATCTGCTACACTGAGAACAACACAGTAAACCTTAATCATGATTGCAGGGTTAATTTACCAACAAGAGGCATTAAAAAGGACTACATTTAGTCCCCTTGAACAGGTTCTAAATTCAATACACAGGCAAGGTGAAGAGAAACAACATGTGGAAACATTAAAGAAAGAGAACCTCACCGGTACCTTGAAAAAGGTGAAGCAAATTTGTGCGTTGTAATTGACACATTCACTATCGTCGAAATATAAATCTGAGAGGGGCGCTAGGAATATACTAAAATTATTTTCGCGTCTCCTTTTTTTAACATTTTAAAAGAGAACTATTTGGCCAGATGTACGAGAAGTGTGTAACTTGCATAATTTTACGAAATCAATTCTACGAAAGGCCTACAGTACAAACAAACCTATTATATCAACAGTTATTTTTCAGCTTTAAAAATATGCACCAAATAGTAGAACTTTTGAT